ACGAACATGTCTGGCTAAGCATCCGTCCAAAACCCGTTCTACTAACAAATACCAAAAAACCTAAGCCCGGGGCGAGGTCTGCGGGCGGGCCTGTGTCCCAGCACTAACATCGGGAGGCTCATGAGGCCAGGACATGGCGGTGAACCCGACAGGAGGCCGGCAGCTTCACCAGTGACTGAGATCGCGGCCACGGCACTCCAACCTGGCGGCGGCAAGCGGCGAGCTCCCCTCCACAAAAAAAAAAATCAAAAAAAAAAAAAGAGTTGCTAGAAGAGCCATTTCCTCCCTCAGAGTAAGGCCCTTCTGGAATTCTAGGTGTTCCCTGGCAGCTGCAAGCAGATGGAATGGAAAGAAAAGAAGGGTTCTCATCCTCCTGGTACCCAGCCTCGTTTTCTTTTAAGAGTTCCTGGTCCACTCCTGACTCTTCTTCTGAAGATGTCTCACTCTGGTCAGGGTCCTCTGCATCTCTAGGTGGTCCTGGACCCCTTGGGGGGCCATGGCTTGGGTCCAACCAATGAGCTGGGTTTGGGTGCTGTGTGTACTTAGGACCAGAGTGCTCTGTGAGGCAGCGGGTGCCATTAGGAGCAGTCCCTGCTGAGTCTGTAAGTCCTGAGAATGAAGGTGTTTCAGGGTCCACGGAGGGTCCTAAAGTCCTGAGGGAGGCACCACCACTCTGGTGGGCTCCACACAACTCTCTTTCTCCGGGGTGCTTCTGGGCCGTGACCCCGGGGCTTCCTGAGGGTCTCAGGTAACAGGCGTCATGGTGTGTTCTGATGGCGAAGAAGGGCAGTAACTCCTCCCCCTCCAGGGGAGGGGCCAGCCAGCTCTGGATTTTTATACTGAGTTCAAGAGCCCTATTACCAAACCTTTCTGACAGGTAGTAAGCAGCACACCATACTGTGCTACAGAAAGAGAACTTCTTTATAGGTTTATAAAAAATCACGTACTTCTTTTTATTTTTTATTTTTTTATTTCTTGAGATGCAGTGTGGCTGTCACCCAGGCTGGAGTGCAGTGGCGCAATCTCTGTTTACTGCAACCTCCGCTTCCCTGGTTCATGTGATTCTTCTGCCTCAGCCTCCAAGTAGCTGGGATTACAGGCATGCGCCAACATGGCTGGCTAATTTTTGTATTTGTAGTAGAGACAGGGTTTCACCATATTGGCCGGGTTGGTCTCGAACTCCTGACTTTGTGATCTGCCTGCCTCGGCCTCCCAAAGTGCTGGGATTATAGGCATGAGCCACTGTGGCTGGCCAAATCACGTACTTCTTTTTAAATAATAAAATCATACATGTAATCAAAGACTTCATGGAGGTCTGCTATGTGTCCACACATGCTGGATTCAGATGATGGGGGCTAGCACATAAGCTATCTTGGGAAAATCCTATAATGCCACAGGAAGTGTCATCTTGCAATTTCTAGAAAGAAATATCATTGAGAGTCAAATAATCTTCATTGCTCTAAAGTGATTCCATGATGAGGCCAGTATCTAAAAGAATTTATTCTGGGCCAGGCACGGTGACTCACGCTTGTAATCCCAGCACTTTGGGAGGCCAAGGCGGGTGGATCACGAGGTCAGGAGATCGAGACCATCCTGGCTAACACGGTGAAACCCCGTCTCTACTAAAAATACAAAAATTAGCCGGGCGCGGTGGCGGGCGCCTGTAGTCCCAGCTACTCAGGAGGCTGAGGCAGGAGAATGGCGCGAACCCGGGAGGCGGAGCTTGCAGTGAGCCGAGATGGTGCCACTGCACTCCAGCCTGGGCGACAGAGTGACGACTCTGCCTCAAAAAAAAAAAAAAAAAAAAAAAAAAGAAATGTTTTCACTTCCCCTAGAAATGACGGGAACACAGAGGAGTTAAAGATCTGTAGGGGGAAACAAAGAAAAACTACTTTTTAACAAAAGAACCCAAAAGTTTTCTCTCTTTGGCATGAGTTAGCCAATCGATTTACACTGTCTATTATCTGGAACCTTGCCCTCTCTCAGATAATCATACTGAATTCATTGCTACAAATTAAAGAGTTTATAAATAACTAATCTCTAAAGTCTCTTCCAGTTCTAAATGTCAGTGATTCCATATGCAGCATATTTCTGTTACTCAATTATGAAAGTTCTGATACAGTACCTTTTTTTTTTTTTTTTTTTTTGAGACGGAGTCTCGCTCTGTCGCCTGGACTGGAGTGCAGTGGCCGGATCTCAGCTCACTGCAAGCTCCGCCTCCCAGGTTTACGCCATTCTCCTGCCTCAGCCTCCCGAGTAGCTGGGACTACAGGCGCCCGCCACCTCGCCCGGCTAGTTTTTTGTATTTTTTAGTAGAGACGGGGTTTTACCATGTTAGCCAGGATGGTCTCGATCTCCTGACCTCGTGATCTGCCCGTCTCGGCCTCCCAAAGTGCTGGGATTACAGGCTTGAGCCACCGCGCCCGGCCACAAATTTTTTATTAATTTTTCCTGAAGTATAATATGCATGAAGTACCCAAATGACAAGTACAGCTAAAAGAATTTTCACAAAGTGAATACACCATGTAGCCGCCTCCCCCAAATCAAGATACAGAATGTAACCAGAATCCCAGAAAGCATCCCACGATTCCCCTAAAGATAACCACTATTCTGATATATTATAATAGGTTAATTCCCACCACTGTTTTGGCTTCATTTAAATGGAATCATAGTTTAGACTCCTGTGCATCCAGTTGCTTCTGCTCAATATTACATGTGTGAGATTCATCCATGTTGCTGCATGTTGCAACAGTTTATTCTATTTTTTGCTTGTTTTGTAGTACCTTATATATCACAATTCATTTATCCATTCACGTCTTGATGATTATTTGGATTGTTTCCAGCTTTTGACTCTTACGAAGACTATTCAACTTCAGCAGATACTGCCAAAGTTTTCCAAACTGGCGAGAACAGTTTATAGCCCTCTCAGCAGGGTGCAAGTGTTCTTGTTTCTCTGCTTCCTTGCCAACACTTGGTATTATCAGCTTTTTAAATCAGGCATTCTGTGTCTAATCTGCTGCAGGCATAGCAAAGTCTGGCTGTACTTTATTTTTTTAATGTTAATAAAATTAGATCCTGAAATGTTTTCACTTGCTATTAATTCTCATATTTTACATGCTTCTTTGTTAGTATTTCCTACATCATAATCATGTCTGCAAATAGAATTGTATTTCTTTCTTTTTTTTTTTTTGAGTCGGAGTCTCACTCCGTCACCCAGGCTGGAGTGCAGTGGCACGATCTCGGCTCACTGCAAGCTCCACCTCCCGGGTTCACGCCATTCTCCTGCCTCAGCCTCCCGAGTAGCTGGGACTACAGGCGCCCGCCACCATGCCCGGCTAATTTTTTGTATTTTTAGTAGAGACGGGGTTTCACCGTGTTATCCAGGATGGTCTTGATCTCCTGACCTTGTGATCTGCCTGCCTCGGTCTCCCAAAGTTTTGGGATTACAGGCGTGAGCCACCGTGCCTGGCCTAGAATTTTATTTCTTTCTTTCCAAGTATTATACCTCTTATCTCTCTTTCTGCCTTTCTGCCCTGACTAGAGCTTTATTTTTTAATTTTTTGTAGAGATGGGTGGCTCACTATGTTGCCCAGGTGAGTCTTGAACTCTTGGCCTCAAGGGGTCCTCCTGCCTCAGTCTCCCAATATAGCTTTACATACAACACTGAATAGAAGTGATGAGAGCAGGGTCTTGTCTCTTTCCTCATCTCTGAAAGAAAGCTTTCGATAAGTCACCATTAAGCTTAATGTCCACCATAAATATTATTTTGTGTAGATGCCCTTTGTCATCTTTTTAAAAGTCCCTTTATTCCCAGTTTGTTAGAAATTTGTTGTGTGGGAATTTTTTTTTTTTTTTGGAAACTAATAAACAGGTGTTGAATTTTATTAAATGCTTTTGTTCATCACTTTGATTAGATCACATTTTTCCCTCCATTTTGAGAACTTACTCTGAAGGACTTTAATTCATTGAAGTGTTTTGAGATTGCATGTGGCCAATTCTGATGAATATACTGTGGCCAGTCACAAGGAATGTGCAGGCTGGGCACAGTGGCTCGGGCCTGTAATCCCAGCACTTTGGGAGGCTGAGACGGGCGGATCACCTGAGATCAGGAGTTCGAGACCAGCCTGATCAACATGGAGAAACCCTGTCTCTGCTGAAAATACAAAATTAGCCAGGTGCGGTGGTGCATTCCTGTAATCCCAGCTGCTCAGGAGGCTGAGGCAGGAGACTCGCTTGAATCCAGGAGGCAGAGGTTGTGGTGAGTTGAGATTGTGCCACTGCACTCCAGCCTGGGTGACAGAGCAGAACTCCATCTCAAAAAAAAAAAAAAAAGGAATGTGCAATTCGCTGTAGTTAATAGCATTACTTACATGTTCTATAACTCTACTAAATTTCATTTGCTTTTTCTATTCGCTAATGAGAGAAGTGTGTTAAAATTTCCAAATATGCCTATTTTGCCTTTTAGTTCTATCAGTTTCCCTTTATATTCTCTGGGGCTGTGTTTCTAGATACATATGAATTTGTGATGTGCTGTAAGTGCCTTTAAAGTGTTACTGGGCAGCGTGAAGTCTTCCAATGCTGTTTTCTAAGAGTGCCTTGGCTATTGTTATTGTTTTAATCCTTTATCATTATGGACAATCTCTCTCTCTCTATTAATATTTCTTTCTGAGAAATGATGCTTTGAAATTAGTATAGCTCTGCCAGCAGTCCTTTGGTTAGTGCTCGCATAGTACATCTTTTCCAACTCTTTTACTTTCAGTCTTTCCATTTAAAGTGGGTCTCTTTTACAAAATCATGGTTGGGTCTATTGTTTTTAATCTGAAAATCTTTGTCTTTTAACTGGAATATTCAGCCTATTTACCTATAATGTGATTTGTACATATTTGGGTTTACATCTATTACTATAACTTTAGTTCTTTGTTCCTTGTCTCTCCTTTCCTGCCTTATTTTGGATGAATCAAGTATTAATATTCCATTTCTCTTCTATTAGCCTCTTATTTTCCATTCTTTTTATTACTTTGTTAACAATATGTGATTTTAAATATTATAGTAGCCACATTGAAAAAGTTAAAAACATATATTAATGTATCTTATTTAATCATATATATTAAAAATATGATCATTTCAGCTTGGTGCGGTGGCTCACGCCTGTAATCCCAGCACTTTGGGAGGCTGAGGCAGGCAGATCACGAGGTCAGGAGATCGAGACCATCCTGGCTAACACGGTGAAACCCCGTCTCTACTAAAAATACAAAAAAAGTTAGCCGGGCGCGGTGGCGGGCGCCTGTAGTCCCAGTTACTCCGGAGGCTGAGGCAGGAGAATGGCGTGAACCTGGGAAGCAGAGCTTGCAGTGAGCCGAGATGGCGCCACTGCACTCCAGCCTGGGTGACAGAGGGAGACTCCATCTCAAAAAAAAAGATCATTTCAACATGTAATCAGTATTTTTTAAATGAAGTATTGTACATTCTTTTTTTTCTTTTTCTTTTTTTGAGACGGAGTCTTGCTCTGTCGCCCAGGCTGGAGCGCAGTGACCGGATCTCAGCTCACTGCAAGCTCCGCCTCCCGGGTTCCCGCCATTCTCCTGCCTCAGCCTCCCGAGTAGCTGGGACTACAGGCGCCCGCCACCTCGCCCGGCTAGTTTTTTGGAATTTTTTAGTAGAGACGGGGTTTCACCGTGTTAGCCAGGATGGTCTCGATCTCCTGACCTCGTGATCTGCCTGTCTCAGCCTCCCAAAGTGCTGGGATTACAGGCTTGAGCCACTGCGCCCTGCCCATTCTTTTTTTTCTATACTAAGTCTTCTAGGTGTTCAAAATCTGGTGTTTATTTTATAATCAAAGCACATCTCAATTCAGAATAGCCACATTTTAGTTCTCAATAACTCCATGCAGCTGACGACGTCAACTGTAGCAGAATGTAGCCCTAAAGACTGACAATGTGCAGCCCTTCACTTATTTAGAGTCTACGACAAATTAATTTCCTAACCTTCTGAA